GCCTGCTTTGAATCCTTGCCGAATATTCGCTCCGACTACAAAAATATTCAATTCCCGTTTTGAATCCATTCCTTGACTCCACCCTATGTTCCTAAATATCATCCTTGAATTCAAACCTAAACTCCAAATTCTCTCCAATTCAATCTATCTGAAAAAGTCTAGTTTGCCTCCCTCTGGCTTGTGGGCCGTTTCTTCTCGGCCCATTTTCCCCCTGCCTATCCCCTCCCTCAGCCTCGCACGTGTGTTGCACGCGCCGAGCCGAGCCGAGAGATCGCTCTCTCGTTCTCTCTCTCTCTCTCCCGCTCGCCCTCGCTCCTCGCCGCGCCAGCGCCTCGCCGATTCGAACCGCCACCGCCTTCGCGCGCGCTCGCGCGTGGCCGACCGGCCAGTCACCGCCACCGTCAGCCCTGCCGCACCTGCGCCGCTCGGCCCCGCACCCCCCTGCGACGCGTGCCCGGCCGCTCCAAGCCGCGTGCGTCCAACTCCCGGAGGCAGAGCTCTCTCTCCCTCCTCCTTTCTCCCAGAATGGCATGGGCAGAGCCCCCTTTCCTCCCTCCCCTTTTGCTTTTTCCCCGACCGGCACCATCGCCTCCTCTTCCGCGCCCGTGACCACGCTCGACCGCCATCTCCCGCCCTTGACCGCCTAGGTCGGTTTCCTCCCAAACCGACTTCACCACCCCTATAAAGCCCAAAACCGAGCCGCCCCATCTCCCTCTCGTTCATCCCCTCTCTACCGCTGCAGTGCCATCGCCGCCTTGCTGCCGCCGTCCTCGCCTCCCTCCGCCATCGCGTGTGCCGGGAAGCCGGAGTGCGCGAGGAGCCGAAGAGGACTCCGGCCACCCCTCTTCTTCCTCTTCCCCAGCCCAAGGCCGGAGAACTCGCCCCGCGCCGTCGACCGCCCATCACTGCCCGCCCGGCTCGGTAGTGCCTCCTCCCGTTCCCCTTCCTCGCTCTCCCTCGCCTCCTTTAGCTCGCACAGAAGCTCGGTAGCCGTCCCGAACGCGCATAGACGCCGCCCCAATGCCCGCTGCCGCCCGGCATGGCCACGCCGCCATTGCCGCCCGCTCCCGGAGGCCGCCTCTCGTCGTTGGCCCTCCTCGGTGCCTCTCCTCCCCATCCGGCGCCGGAAACGGATTCCCCGAGCCCCGGAGATGCTCCCACCCCTTTGAATCGAACTCCCGTCGCTCCGGTGAAATTTCCCCTTTTGCTTGCCGCCGGTGGCCGCCGTCGCAATCCGCCGCCCTTGACCTCTCCCGGCGCGATCCGAGCCGTTGGCTCGTCCTCTCTTGCGCCGCTCGCCAATCCGGTGTGCTCCCCCTTGACCATAGTCATCTTGTCGAGCTCCGGAGAACTCGGCCGCCGCCCGCCGTCCATTTTCCCGGCCGGCCTCGTCTTCCTCCTCCCGCCGACCCGCGTGGCTGCCGCCACGTCGGCGCCACCTCGGACGCGACCGGGTCAAGGCTGACCCCGGTCCGCCGCTCCCCTCCGTCCCGCTCGCGCGCGCGGTCCACCGCGAGCCGTGAGGCTGTGTGTGGGCCCGCCACACCCGCGTCCATTGCAAGCCGCGCGTGCGCCGCGCCTCCCCCTCCCAAACCCTAGCGTGCTCCGCGTGCACCTCGCTCATGGTGAGCCGAGCCGCCGACAAGCGGGTCCCACTCGGGACCACGCGAGGTGAGCCCGGCCCACCGGCCCTCTCCCTCCCTCACTCTCCCCGCGCCCCCTTGGGCCGCCTCTCCGGGCCGGCCGGCCCATTAGTTTGGCCGAGCCGTGCCTCTCCTCTCGGGCCGCACCCAAGCCGCCCGAGGAAGTCTAAATCATATCCCTCCTTCAATTTCTTTCCAAAAAGGGTTTAACAAATTATTAAATCCTTTTTCCTTTAGACAGAAAATTCCTTAATCCTTAGAAAATCCATATCTTCTCAACCGCTCATCCGATTGACTCCGTTCCACTTCCAGTAATTCCGTAAAATTGAGATCTATTTAATGGCACTATTATTTAGTCTAAATAGGGTATTTTTCTTGGTCTTTTGTTTAGGTTTTGATTGTTTGCGTATAGTTGCGGTTACCGGATTTTCGTCGATCGCGGGTTTTCTCGAAGATTCGTGAAGCTTCGTGAAGACCTTGAGCAAGGCAAGTCACCCTTTGATCAATTGCTCCTATAATTGGAAAATCATTATTATTTTGTTTGCAACTTGTATTATTAGAATCACACACTTAACTTGCTTGGCCTCGGTTTGCATGCCAAACCGACGGACCTACCTAGTAGTCGCACCAATTCCTGTAGGCTGTACTACCCTGATTCCTTGTCGCTCCACCCTTGTGGTACTTCGGTATCCGTGCTCTCTAAGCGCGTATACCTAATATCCCACATACACCGTTGATTGTCGAAAACTTGGGAAATGGGTTTGTGAAGCCTTCAAAACCCGACATGTGGTGTCGGTGTGTTCGAAAATAAAATGAATTGTGAAAACTCGCGATGCGGGGGTTGTGCCTATGTGGCACTGTCCCGTATTCGCATATAAGGACCGATTCCTGTGGGAAACTCATCGAGCATAATCAAAGTGCAACCACAAGGTGGAATGGGACACCCTGGCTAAGTAACTAGTCGGTTCAGGGAAACCTCGCATGCCAATAGTTGGGAACGCCGGGGCGGGGTCGGACAAACCGGGTTCATGGTAAGGCAAGGACAAGAAGCTTGCTGACTTACCGATCAAGGTGGTTGGAGTTTGATTTGTGAATGCCTAAAATGGCCTATACTTACGTGAGGATTTGATCCTTCTATGTGGCATGAGGTAACCCTGGGTCGGCTTGGGAAAGGCTTTGTCGCGAACCTCTGACACCGGCCAGTGTCTGGAGTAAGTTCGTGTATTGTGGGTAAAGTGTACCCCTCTGCAGAGGTTAACTAACTGTTCGAACAGCCGTGCCCACGGTCATGGGCGGACGTGAGGTGGTTCCCGTTGCGTAGATTTGTTTGCCTGTACTTTGTGAAAAGTTGTTGTGGTGTGGGAATCGTAACCAGAATCAGCCTACGTGGCAGATGGATGACCTGAGTGGTCAGAAACGAATCTGTGTGATTCGGGATGTCTGCGGGCATCATAGACTAGGCTTCCCGAGTGGAAGCGGATTGCTTTGCTGCTGGGCAACTGGACTCTGGGAGTCCGAGAAATTGAAAAAGGCTCTGGAAGCCGCCTAATCAAGTGAAATGGCTCTGGGAGCCGAGAAGTAATGATCTGACCCGGGAGGTCGGTACATTACCAATTGAGTTGTTGAAAAGCATCTCTTAAGTCGATTTGAGACGCAAGTCTCTTTTCGACCCAAACTTAAAAAGAAATAAATCACTTAGTGATTTCAAAATGATTTCAAACAAAAGATTCGCAAAACTATCTTGCCTCTCTTCCAAGCTTGCATTAAACACCTAAGTTCCCGTGACTTGCTGAGTACGAAAGTACTCACCCTTGCTCTATATAAATATATATAGTTCCGCCGCCCTGAAGTTGAAGATGAAGTGAAGTGAAGATTAGGGTTTCGTCCTGGTTCCCAGCCGTCGCCTGTGGTGTTGGGTGTTAGTTCGTTGGTTCCGCTGCTTCTGCTGTTGTTGGTGTTTCCTCGTCCGTGTCGTCGGTTGCATTCTCGGGTTGTTCTGAGCTGCAACCTAAGTTAAGGTAAATAAGTCCTCTATTTATTTTAAGGATTTGCAATGATTCATATTTGTCACCGTGGGTACCAGCACTATGTCCTGGGACTGGTACCGAGATCGCGGTTTCGTAGGAAGCGGTTCGCGCCGTTTTTCCTACGACACGCTCCTATCAGGTGCCGTTGTACGACGGTGCCGGATTGGGGTGTGACAATTTCCCAAGCAACTAGCAGGAAAACTGATTTGAGCCCTTTGTGTTTTGTTACTTCTAGATCGCTTGTTCCTTGTGTCCACCAATCCAGCAGATCCCTGCTAGTGCTCCACCTCGGGATGATGTGCCCTTGTCGTAGCCAATGGAGCACGCCAAACCAAACTTGCTTCGAGACTGAGCATTCGAATAGCAGGTGGTTGATGGTTTCAAGGTTTCGAAAACATAACTGGCCGAAGTAGTTGTTTGGCCACCCCCTGATTTGCAACATATCTGCTGTCCATACCCGATTTTGAATCGCAAGCCAACTGAAGATCTTGCATTTCGCCGGGACCCATGCCTCCCAAGACAGCGTTGCCGACGGCGAGGTTGTCATTCCCTCAAATTAGAAAAGATAGGCAAATTTTACGCTGTATTCCCCATTTGCCGTACATCTCTAAGTGATCGAATCCTCCACTCCTTCTGTCAATTGTGGGCTTTCGAGTGCTAAGACCTCCCAGATTTTATGTATTCTGAAAGAAGGGTGACAGTGAGGTTGTGACGGATGTCATTTATCCACCTTCCATGTTAATGCACTGTTTTGAATGTAGACATCATATACTGCTTGATGGTCAGATTGTTAACTGTTAAAATAAATCCTTCAGAATCTTTAGCTGTTGACGGTATATGAACTGCATTAAATCTAAGAACATGCTACGAACCCCTCTGCAGAACACCTTAAGTTCTTTTCTTTTTTGTATCTATTGGCTATAAGTTTCTCAAATTTATACATAACTAATTTAACTTCTGTGGGAGCCTGTGAACTTTTAGTATAGACTTCATCAAAAGGTTTCCTCTTGAACAATTCGATTTTTGACTCAACAACCAAAATTCGACTTTTCAACACACATCACAATGTTCCAAGATTAGCAACCAAGGCAGGGACGCGTACGTGGTCGTCAGTTTCCAGTAACTCAGTTTGGTGCGTGGAGTTTACTTTGCAAAGCGCGGGTCGTCGCACTCTCGCGTCGCGTCGTCGTACGTGGCCGTTCCTTGATCAAAACTTTCTCTGCCAGGAAATTGCCGCCCAATTGCATACTATTAGTCCCCATCGTGCGTTCACCCATCCAATATTGCTTAACCAAAAGTCTTGTAATTTTATCGCCTATCAACAGCAGGGTCACAATAAAGTTTGAGATTGACATAAGCTGCCAAAATCTTTCTCCGAACCAATCAAGTCACCAAAAACCGAACAAAAAGACATGCCAATATTAGCAATATGTTCTAAACAAATCTATACATTTATATGCAGTACAGTTATGATATAATTACATTACATGTAACTATAATATAACTTGTATCGTTCATTCTAATCGTTCCGATTCAACAGATGCAATTGCAATATAACTTTTGTCGTTCATTCCAATCGCTCCGATTCAACGGACTAGATTGATTGATTTATTTATACGTATGATTATTACCACCACCACGAGGAGCTAGCCGGGTATTGGTAGACGACGTGCTGCGGCGGCGGCGCGTAACCGTAGGGGTAGCAATTCCACGGGTACGGGTACTCGACGACGGCGGGCTCCGGCTTCTTCTCCTCCTTCTTGTCCTCGCCGACGGTCATGAGCGTGGCGTGGCCGACCTTCTTGCGCAGCGCGGTGGTGAGCTCGATGGAGTCGACGCCATCGCCGACCACCACCAACTGGTCCTTGCCGTCCCCGGCCAGCGCCACCGAGTCCACCCCGGTCGTCGACGCCACGAGCGCCATCGCCTTCGACCGGCACTTGTCGCTCGCCATGTTCATCTTTATCACAATCTTTTGCTGCAAAAACCAACCCAACCAAATTCAGTTTCAGGGGCTTTCAGCATGCCACACTTGCTAATAAGATGTAGTAAATTACTACTACTACATTCGTCCTAAAATATAACAACTTTTAGCTATAAATCTGGACACACTATTGTCCAGATTCATTACTAAAAAATGCTTATATTTTAGGACGGAGGAAGCAATAGCTAGCAAGTTGTAGTAATTATGTATGTACCTTGGCCATTGCTGCTCTCTTGGGAGGAATGAGATCAGAGGCTGCTACAATTAGCAAAAGTCTGAATGGTGTAACTGTTCTTCACTTGGGAATTGAAGCTGGAGCTCTGTTGTGCAGAGGACCTCAGCTTGGTTAGCTTGCCGTGCATGAGGGAGAGCAGAGCCTGAGAACTCCCCTCCTTATATGGCTGTGTTTGCTAGGGGAGGATGGGAACATGCATAGTGCGCATGGAAAACGAAGTAGTCCATTAGCACGTGATTAATTAAGTATTAGCTATTTTTTTAAAAAAATGGATCAATATGATTTTTTTAAACAACTTTCATATATAAATTTTTTGCAAAAAAACACACCGTTTAGCAGTTTGAAAAGAGTGCGTGTGGAAAACGAGAGGGAAATGTTGGGAACACCCCCCTTGCGAATACACCCAGTGTGCCGCTCTGCTAGATATGTGTACGCTGAACAATTCAGATGTGGAGCAGTTGGGATTTTCTGATTTTGTTTACGACTTGGTGTGACTACGGTCATGTCAGTAATTAATCCCATTAGTCACTTGGCTGATCAATATTGCTGCAGACGCGGCACGAGAAACCGTGTAAGGGCACCCACAATGGTTATCTATAGACTCTCTATAAGAGATCCATATCAGCATATTTTCCTACTTGGAAGATATTAAATGAAGAGAGAGAGCAAAACTATCTACTAACTTAGAGATAGTCTATAGAGAAAAACGAGACAATGCATGAGAGAGCTATAGATACTCATGCAGACATACTATTGAGGTGGTTTACTATTAATCTAGTCTATTGCTGAGATGTACATGTTTTATAGAGAGTATCTTACTTTACCATTGCGGGTGCTCTAATGTGAGTATACTACTACTGTTGTTGCTGCTTGTTTGGACTCCTTAACTGTATTATACTTGGAGCAGCAGATTAATTAGTGACCAAGCACTCTCCTTCCTCCTTCCTCCCGAAGGCTTTTTGTTCATATCTCCATTAAGACATTAAACTAATTTCGCACAATTGGTTGATCACACTATACTAGTAGTCTAGTACCATGCCGTCAGGTTGTGCGGTTATGACGACTGCTGCGTTGGTGTCAGCTTGGAGAAGTAGGACACAGGGACGAACGTTTTCTTCCAGTGATTGAAAGAGTAAAGTTGCAACGCACTAGTTGCAATTAATATAAGAAATAAGAATCCATCACATTGAGCCATGTCATTGACAATTTGTAATCCGTTGGATTTCATATGGACGCTTGGCAGTTCATTTCAGATTACATTACTCGTTTGCTTGCTATGCAATGTACTTAATTAGCACATGCGTTGAGAAATAAGCACAAACTTTAACGTGTTCCCATACTCCAACAGGAATAATATACTATTTGTTACTTTTTCTACTACCTACTCATTATAGGTTGCTATATTTTAAGATGGGGAATACATAAACAACTATGAAAAAAAAACAGGTCAAAAATCGGAGGGAGTATTTTGGAACGGAAGGTGTACCATCTACATGACGACTTCCTTGATCTCGAAGAACTTGATGATTAGCATATCTGAAATTGTTGGTCGGCATATATTTAATGGAGTACTGAGCAGTAACTTTGTGCGATGCTTTTCCTTTGAAACATACGGAACTCGTATTTGTCAAATCATTATCATGATTATTATTTTATAATAAACAATTAAATATTATGAGGATTATATAGGTAATTCTGGTTTATTGGTGAAGTGTTAGTAGACAGATGGTCTGACTTGATCAAGTATCAAGGACAGTTAGTAGACCTGTGGCATGTGGCTGGTTCGACTGACAAGGTAGCGGTGGTCTGATTGGAGCCGTGTGTGCAGTTAGACTTACTCCTAGATAGTTCGTGAACTCCGGATTTAGAGGGGTTTCCCAGTGAATTTGAGTGCTTAATTTTTAAGGCTTGTAATTGTTCTGTATGCTAACATAAGTCAAAGATGACAAAGACTTCTGCTTGTATATTGTTCTTTTTTGTTTATTTATGTATATGTGTCTTGAGATCACATGAGTATCGCTGATGATGGATTGGAAGTCGAGTTAGGTGAAATTGATGTACAAACAATTAAGGAGATTATGAAAGATGATCATAGTAACAAACAGTGCAAGTGGAGGTGAAATTGTTGGCATACACGGGATGTGAGCGCATATGAAAGACGAGTCAAATTTTGAAAATTTATTTTTGTAGGTGGTCCCTTAAGAGGGCTGTTCCTCTTAGATATTGTTTATAAAAGTAAATTTTATCTAGTCTCTTAAGTAACCATCTGGAAAAGTCAATTTCTGCGGTGGTTTGGACCAAAGTCCCCGGTGCGTTTCTACTTGTCTTCTTTTTTTTTTCTAAAATCACGAGGAGTGTTTGGGAAAATGGTTTTTAATATATAGTGGAGGGGAGATTGTTGCCGGTTAGAGAGAGTGCAGATCCTCTACAGTACTTCTCGTGTAGTAGCAGTGGCAGACGTGTGGACCCGGGCCCACATGTCAGGCACTGCTACTGCACCAGCAGTACTGCAGGCAATCCCCATTGGGTTGGAGAGGGTGACTGAATGATCGAGATGGGAAGCGGGGAGTTGTTTATATGTTTTTTTTGTGTCCAGTGCAAAATATTAAAGTTTATCATTGTAAATTTAACTAATAATGAAAGGCCAAAATAGGGGATGATAGGTGTTGACAAAAATTTAAGACATCACTTAAGCATAATTATGGTCTTACATTATGTAGATGGTATAGTCTCAGAGTATATGTGTCCACGTTAAGTTTCCTCTATAAATCTTCTAGGGGCGCAGCCTTTTTTTCACAAGAACTACTCCCTCCGTCCAAAAAAAAAACAAACCCTGGTTTCCGTGTCTAATGTTTGACCGTCCGTCTTATTTAAAAAAATTATAAAAAAATTAAAAAGATAAGTCACGCATAAAGTATTCATCATGTTTTATCATCTAACAACAATGAAAATACTAATTATAAAAAAATTTCATATAAGATGAACAGTCAAACGTTGGCACGCAAACCCACGGTTTGCTTTTTTTTTAGGACGGAGGGAGTACTCTCTTAGGCCAGTCACAATGGGGGTTTCACTGGTGTGTCATGCACATTTAATAGGGGTAAGACTGAATAAAAAATGATTATTTGCATGAAATGGGGATGAGAGAGAAGGAAAGAGTTTCATCCTGGTGAAACTCGTCAGCGTCGTTTCCAAGTCCTCGGTAACAGAGTGAAACCCCCGTTGAGGCCGATTCGTTTCATTCACCGGATCTCTTGCGTCCGCCTCCGCCGTGCGACCTCCGCATTCTCCCGCGCCGCGCCGGATTTTGGGTACAAATGATCCCAGCAACTTGTATCAATTAAATGCTTTGCTTAGTCTTGGAAACGTCAAAGTGAAACCCCTCCACTGTGGGGATTGTTTCATAAAAGATTTCATTTGAGAGAAGATGGTATAATATTTTGGGTAGCCGTGCAATGACACTAGCCATTGTGACTGGCCTTAGGGGCATAGTACAGTGCAGCTAGCGGAGACTCAGAGCAAACGGTTCGTGCGACCAGTAGTACTTCTCTTTTTCGTGAGCTGAAAGATTTCCGTGGCGTACTCAGCGGAGTAGTTGCTCAGTGGCTCTGTCTTCCGTATCCAACGTTGACCGTCTATTTTATTTGAAAAAATTATAAAAAAGATTAAAAAGACAAGTCACGTATAAAATATTATTTATATTTTATCATTTAACAATAATGAAAATACTAATTATAAAAAAATTTCATATCAAACGAACGATCTGGACACGGAAACCCAGGGTTTAGCTTTTTAAAGACGGGGGAGTAGTAAGCAATTCGGTCGACACAGCTACAGCTGGTCCAGCGACAGCGATCTGGCCAATCCAATCGAAGAGGAAAATCGCAACACGACGAAGACGAATTCGAAGCCGACGACCGGTGATCCCCGCCGTGCACGCCGGCGCCCGGCCGGCGAAACTGCCCGATCGGCTCGGAAGATTTAATCCGACTTGCCATTATTCATCTTTTTTTTTTTGCGAGGACTTGCCATTATTCATCGACTAATATATCTGAGCGAGTGAATAGCGCTACTGCTTCTTTTGGACTCGTTCGGCAGAGAACGGCCATTTGTCTGAACTTCTTTAATTTTAGCGTTCATCACCTCATCTGCAGCCTGAAGGTTCGTCACCGCGTTGGCCGATCAAGTAGCTAGTCTAAGACTCTGAGGGCACATGGGACGATTAGTAAATACAGACACGCACTACTTAACCATCGAGGACCCATGCATTACTTAAACCAAGAATCTATTTTATCGCCAATCAACGGGACAGTCACGACAAGTTTGAGATCGACAAGCCAAAATCTTCTATGAATCAATTGAATCACCAAAAAGTTTTTTAAAAAAAAAAAACCATGCCGATCGACTCAGCGATCTGCCCTGCCCCTAAACAACGCAAACCATCATATCATCCTGGTTTATACACTTTTAATCCGTGAAACATGAAGACCATATATTGGGAATGAAATCCTCTGACGTTACATCTTCCCTGATGTGTGTGCATAGATACTAGGGCTGTGTTCATTCTCCTATTTTTTCAACCCACATCTCTTGTTTTCCGCGCGAACGCTTTTTATACGGTTAGATGATGTGATTTATACAGAAACTTTTTATATGAAAGTTGATTAATCATATAATAATACGAGCTTCATTTTATTGAGCACAGTTAGAGATAATAGAATAGACATGTCAGCAACCACCCTCCGATTTTAAATGAGAGGATCCCAGTTTCCAATTTTTTCTTCAAACTTCTAAATTTTCTATCACATCAGAAACTTTTCTACATACATAAACTTTCAACTTTTTTCTTCAAACATCCAATTTTAGTAAAACTTCTAATTTTGACGTGGAACTAAACACAGCCCAAATTGATTTGTTTAGAATATAGACCACGAGCTGGCCGGGTATTGGTAGACGACGTGCTGCGCCGGCGGCGCGAAGGTGTAGGGGTGGTAGCTCCACGGGTACTCGACGACGGCGTGCTCCGGCTTCTTCTCCTCCTTCTTGACCTCGCCGACGGTCATGAGCGTGGCGTGGCCGACCTTCTTGCGCAGCGCGGTGGTGAGCTTGATGGAGTCGACGCCGTCGCCGACCACCACCACCTGGTCCTTGCCGTCCCCGGCCAGCGCCACCGAGTCCACCCCGCTCGTCGACGCCACCAGCGCCATCGCCTTCGACCGGCACTTGTCGCTCGCCATGTTCACCTTGATCACAATCTTTTGCTGCAAAAACCAACCCAACCAAATTCAGTTTCAGGCTTTCAGCATGACACACTTGCTAATATAAGATGTGGAGTAGTAAATTATGTACCTTGGCCATTGATGCTCTCTTGGGTGGAATGAGATTCAGAGGCTGCTGACTAGCAAAAGCCTGAATCGTGTTGCTGTTCTTCACTTTGGAACTGAAGCTGGAGTCGTGTTTGTGCAGAGGAGAGGAGAGGAGAGGAGATTGGCTTGGCTGGCAGCTAGCTTTGGCGGTGGATGAGGGAGAGCAGAGTCCAGAGCTCCCTCTTTATATAGGAGTGTGCCGCTCTGCTACATCGTCTGTACGCTGAACAATTCAGATATCGATCGATGCGTCAAGTGGAACAGTTGGGATTCTCTGATTTTGTTTATGAATTATGACCATGGGTCATGGGCTCATGGCATGAATCCCATTGGCTGCTTTGCTGATTGCTGCTGCAGACGCGGCAAGAGAAACCGTGTCTTGTGAGTATACTGAAGTACTACTCTGCTGCGCTGCTTGTTGGACTGCTTTCAAAGTCGTATACTTGCGAGTAGTAGCAGATTAAATTAGTGACCAAGCAGTCTCCTTCCTCTTTCCTCCAGAAGGCTTTTGGTACGTATCTCCACTAACATTAAACTAATATCGCATTATTTCGAAAAGTACGACAGGTATGAAGTTTTTCCAGTTATTGTGATGTCTCCGGCCAATCCGAGGACGCCTAAAGAAAGTATTGCTTGGTTTGCGAAAAGGTTGCTAATTTTTTTTAAAAAAAATGTTTAGACTTATTAAAGGTTTGCTTCAATTTATGAAAGGGTTGTATGGGACAAAATAATTTGGTTATCATCCCTTTCTTCAGAACTAGTCCAAACGAAACAGTATATTAGTGTATGATTAATTAAGTATTAGATTTTCTGAAAAATAGATTAATATGATTTGTAAAACAATTTTTCTATATATATATATATTAAAAAAACGATACTATTTAACAGTTTGGAAAGCGTGCGTGCGAAAAAAGGTGGAGTGAAGTTGAAAACATTGAGTAAATGGCTCAGCCGGTTCTTTTCTCATTAAGATAAAGGTTTTTCCTCGATTTTCGGTAGCACGTTTTTCAAACAACTAAACGGTGTGTTCCGTACGAAAAGTTTATATCTAGAAATTACTTTAAATATCAAACGTATACATTTGTCAAGTTTATAATAATTAAAACTTAATTAATCATGTGCTAATGTTTTTTTTACACCCATCAACTTAATCTTTATGTTCGTCAGTTTCAAACACCTCAGCAGAGCGCCACTACTATAAAGGAGCCACTGGATTGAGCCATATCATCGCTAATCTTTCATCCGGTCACAGCTGCTGCTGGTCCAGCGACAGCGATCTGGCCAATCAATCCAAGGAGAAAATCGCAACACGACGAAGAGGAAAGCCGACGACCGGCGAACTGCTCGATCGGCTCGAAGAGATTAATCCGACGTACTGCCCATTCCGAAGCTACGGTCCTCGGCAACACATGCATATGAACTCGTGAACAAACGCTAGTACATCTTTTGGACTCATTGCGATTAATATACGCCCGCAGACAAAATTTGGAAGTCTGGTTGAAAGATTAGCGATATTATTATTCTTAACTTTCATCACCTCCCCCTTCAGCCTGAAGGTTCGTCAGCGCGTGTGCCGATCAAAGTATTCTCAAGAGTGCACATGGGACGCCGATACGATTAGTATACACAGACACGCACAAACCATTTAATCCAAAAATCTAATACTCCCTTCGTATTTTAATTTATGACGCCGTTGACTTTTTAACAAACGTTTGACTATTTTTTTTATTCAATTTTTTTTGTGCAAATATGAAAATATTTATGTCATTCTTAAAGAACATTTGATGATGAATCGAGTCACAATAAAATAAATAATAATTACATAAAATTTTTAAATAAAACAAATGGTCAAACTTTAGATAAAATGTCAACGACGTTATACATTAAAATAAAATATAGAGGCTTAATTTATCACCAATCAACGGACAACGGGACAGTCACGAAAATTTGAGATGCACAAAGCCAAAATCTTCTCTGAATCAATTTAAATCACCAAAAATGAGAGGGAGGGGGGGACGACATGCTGATCTCTCAGCGATCTGTCCTAAACAACCCAGACCATCCTACTTTATACACTTTTAATCCGAGAAACATGGACGCCACGTATCTTGATCTTTTCGATCCAACGGACCAGATTGATTGATTTTATCTAATACGAGTAGTTAAGCACTTAGCACCACCACGGCGAGCTGGCTGGATACTGCTGGTAGAAGACGTGCTGCGCCGGCGGCGCGTAGGTGTAGGCCGGGTGGTAGCTCCACGGGTACTCGACGGCGGCGGCGGCGGGCTCCGGCTTCTTCTCCTCCTTCTTGACCTCGCCGACGGTCACGAGCGTGGCGTGGCCGACCTTCTTGCGCAGCGCGGCGGTGAGCTTGATGGAGTCGACGCCGTCGCCGACCACCACCACCTGATCCTTGCCGTCCCCGGCCAGCGCCACCGAGTCCACCCCTCCCGTCGCCGCCACCAGCGCCATCGCCTTCGACCTGCACTTGTCGCACGACATCTCCACCTTTATCACGATCTTTTGCTGCAAATCAAATTATCAAACACAACCAAATTCAGTTCCAGTTTGTTTCAGAAAATTCAGTTTCAGGCTTTCGGCACACACAGCGATCGAAACCAAATTAAGCTGTAAGAAACTATGAGAAGCAAGTGATGTGTAGTAATTAGGTACCTTGGCCATTGCTTTGCTTAATTTCTTGGCAGGAACGAGATCGGAGGCTACTAATTAGCAAAACCCTGATCGAATTGTGTGATTTTGTACTCTTCACTAGCTTGGGAATTAGCTCAGCTTGGCGTGGATGAGTGAGATAAGAGAGTCTCCAGGGCTGCGCTCCTTTATATAGGAGCTGATGCTGTCCTGTCCCAACTCTGACGCGTACAGTACGCTTGAAGAATTCAGAGATGGACCGATCGATCCGCTCGATGCGTTACGTCGAGCAGTTGGGATTTCAGAAATTGTTAACGACTTGGCTCTGGTCCTCGCAGAGACGAGAAGACGATGTGCTGCAGACGCGGCAAGAAACCGTGTGTGTCTCAGTGTGGTTGTGTGTCTTGATCAGTACTCCAGTGCTGCTGCTTCCAGTGAAATCAGCGACTAGTATGCATGTGCCTTTTGGACCCTTTTAACTAGAAATCACTAGATTAATGTGTGACCAGCTTGGAGATCAAGCTAAGCACTCTCCTTCATCCTTCCTCCCAAAGGCTTTGATTGACAGTACTCTCTCCATATTTTAATGTATAACGACGTTAACTTTTCGACTAACGTTTGACTATTCGTTTTATTTAAAATTTTCGTGCAAATATAAAAATATTTATATAATGCTTAAAGAACATTTGATGATGAATCTAGTCACAATAAAATAAATGACAATTGCATAAATTTTTCGAATAAAACGAATGGTCAAACGTTAGATAAAAAGTCAACGGCGTCATATATTAAAATACGGAGGTAGTACAAGTTTAATACCTTCATTAGCTAATTATACATGACGTCGACTGCGTGACGTCGGCTTGGAAAAACAGAAAGGGAAAGAACAAGTGTGAACGTTTAATTTCTTTGGACCGATCATTGTGATGTGTCCGTATCTTCCTTGCCACTCAAGAATCTGGTGATTATCTGAAGTCTGCTCACGTTGACTGAGGCCCCGTTTTTCCTCGGTTAAGATACCTCCGTTTTATTAGCATATTTTTTTTAAACTGTTAAACGGTGTATCTGTTACGAAAGCTTTTTATATAGAAGTTATTTAAAATATTGGATAAATCCACCTTCAAGTTTAAAAATCCAATTAATCAATATGCTTATGCCTTTTTTTTCTGTGTCTGTACTTAGGACTTGTCCAATTTGTTCTTGCAACCTTACCAAATTTTTATAAGATAACACTTCAACCCTTACTAACTTGCCAAATTTTTGGCAATTCTAAAAGTTTCCTATCTTAAAACTCTATCAAAATTTGAGGAGAACATGGAAACAAACAAAACCAACATTACCGAAATTCCATAATACCAAAATAAGTCAAAATTCGGTATTACCAAAATTTAGTACTATGATTAATTTGTGCAACAAAGTGAGCAAGTCCTTAATCTATATCCTTAGTTATTAACTCCAACGTGGTATAAGTGGAATAAACTAGCAACAGTGGAGCAGAATTCTTGCCACTCACACCTGGGGACAATATCACTATCAGTTAATTATCGCGTAATCAATCCAAGAATTAATACTCAGTAAGATCCTAGCTCGACGACAACGACCGGTCATCTCCGGCGTGCACGCCGGCGAACACCCCATGGATTCATCCGACCGGGTCAGTCGGTCCACCGGTCCGAGCTTAATTGCATCTATTCGATCGAGTGCGTGAACAACCTACTTCTTCTTCCTTTTGGACTTATTGTGTTAATTAACGCGGTAGAGAGAATCATATTTGTCCGAACTTTTAATTTTTTTATCGATCATTTGTTTGAACTTTGATGTACCATGTAGTATTGTATTAATTATTGTTTGCTTAACTTACATCGCCTCACCTGAAGGTTCAGGGGTTGTTTGGTTGCATGCCACAAATTGCCACGCCTAAAGTTAGTCATGCCACAGTTTTTTAGCTATTGTTTGGTTCATGACACAACTGTGGCTAGCCACACATTTTCTCTATATGGCCCCACATGTCATACACTGGTATTTTTTGCTAACTTTGGCTAAGTTGTGGCTTGCATTTTGCTAGCCACACATTTTGTGGCAGCCACACCTTGCCTAATATGGAGTTTGGTAAAGTTAGTAAGCAACCAAACATCCCCTCAATTTGTCGGTCGTCGCGCCGTCCATGGATAATGCCAATCAAGTTGATTTTTCTCATTTGACAATTTTTAGTAGAACGCAAACACGCGCAATTGTTTTTGTTTTCCACGCAAGGACAACAGCGTGACAACTTGCTGGTCAAGGATCGGGATGTTGAGATGTGACCTCCTTCGCACTGTGCCAAAAGGAGCGCATGAACTCCACATTACCAGTAACTTATCTGATTAATTTGTGCTATTTTACATTTGGTTCTCACGCACCAGATAAATCCGTGAATCATAATGAGTATTTTTACAAATTCAGATAGATGCTAAATTATATTTAAGTTCTTGTACTACTAATATGATTTAATTAACTGATATGTGTGTGTGCAGATCTCATGCCACACATCAAACGATTAAACTATACGATTGACTGAAGATCCAATATATTATCTCTTTTTTAATATATATATATATTTTTAAAGTTAGACACATGTGTATTAATAATGAAAAAACTAAATAAGAAAATAATAATGATTGGTTGAGAAGATAAAGTACTTAAAGAATTTGATGGGTGATTGAGAACAAAATGTAAATAGAAAAAATATCATATTTTAGAATAAATTTCAAAAAGTAAATCGTCAATCGATGCGGCCGTGTAAGTTCAGAGCGGACAAGAGCCAACAACCTCAACTCTCAGTTTGTTTTTTTTTTTGAAAACTCATAAATTTATTCATATAGTGAGGATTACAGACAGAGCTCAAAGGAAATGGCATCCCCAGAACATCGCCATAAAAGATAAGACATAAAAAACAACACCATCCATTCAGAAGGTAAAGCTAGCTGAACTAAGAAAAACATCCTCCAAGATAATCCAAACAGCAGTAAAGAACGCGATCGACAGGGGACTGCGGTAATGCCGCGACGACCACGTCCACGAGCCTCTACTGAAGACGCGCACACCGCTTGACAGACCGGTGACCCCTTCGGCTGCCTCCACGGAAACGGCGCTATTCGAGGTTTGTTGTTGAGTCGTAAATTTTTCTTAAGCTTCACCGGACTCAACAAAATATTGTCAAGGAGTTCTCCATCAAATCTGAGGAGCACAGACTGCAATCCTATCGACAAGAGCCGACTAGACGGTCTATACTCAACCCGAATGGAGCCCTCAACTTGAATACTACTGCAAGTAGATTTGAAGAAAGTCTCCATACTCCAACTTGCCTTGAACATGCAAGAATTAGGATGGCGGCGACTGAACCCCTGTCTTGTAACGATTTGGCGGAGGTACGCAACACCGGAGATGGAAGGGAAAATGTTGCCGCAGAGAGCTTCAATAAGCAGGAGCCTGAGCAACCAACCAACAAGCTTGCCACCAAGAGCTTCAACAAGCAGAAGCATGTGGAGATTCAACCAACTAACAAGCTGGAGCAGCTCATTCAGCCCACCAACGAGCATGAGCAGCAGCAGCTCTTGCAGCCACCACCATCCGTCCTTGTCAGGGAGCCTGAGACGGCCGGCCCAGAAACACCACATCCATCTCCATCACTCTGGGCAAGCAATGAACAGAGGCCAGCTGCACCGGATCCACCACCGCAAGCCCTTGTCGCCATGGAAAGGACGCCAAACGCCCCAGATCCATCCATCTTCAGCGACGACACTGGGACAGCCACGGCCACAAACACCACCGCCACCATCGTCTTCTCCGATCGCCATGAAGCAACACCGGCGAAACTCCAAAAGGGACAAACCCGAGCTACAGGAAGACCTGACTACGGAAGAACTCCGACCTAACCTACTTTATACTAGTACGGGAAGGTGGCCTGGCCCCTCCTTCGGCCCTCACCGGCGGCGAACCACCGGAATCGGGGGGAAGAGGGGTCGGGGAGGGGGATTTTACTATAGAAGCCTATTCTCCCACAAGCTCTCCAGAGACTTCTGTTTAACTCTCAGTTTGTTGTTTGGTGATAGTGCGGCCATGAGAAGACCAGTTGGACAACTGCAGAAACAAGAAGATCAAAATTAATTCCACACATCAAGTCCTAAAAGTCAAAATGGGCTATATGATCCAAATTACATCGAAGCATCCATTTGTAGAACTTTGCGAGACCTTAGCTCCACAAATCAACACCGTGGAATCGAAAAAATTGTTGTCGACTATGTGCGTGCGTGACAGTACAGTGCACGGTTGAAAAGCAGGGGAGAGGCATCAGTATACCAGAGGTCAGAGGAAATTGGTAGTAATGCCACGAAGTTAAGGTGCCACAAACTCAAGTGGCTTTGTTGTTTTTTTTTATCTTGTCTACCACAATAAAAAAGAAACGTAAAGGAAAAAAAAAACATTTCATACCCCTTATTAGGGGAGATTAGAAGTGGGAAGATGGTTGAAGTAAAGTTGACGAAAAAATATACTCCATCCGTTTCACAATGTAAGTCATTCTAGCATTTCCCACATTTATATTGATGCTAATTATATGTCTAGATTCATTAGCATCAATATGAATGTGGGAAATGCTAGAATGACTTACATTATGAAACGGAGGAAGTAAATGAGAAGTGGTTAGATAAACATGTATAGCACTCTATAAATCTTCCTATTTACAGATAAATTTCAAATGCATTATTTATCGACAGAGAGAATGTACTCTGCAAGTCGGATGATAGCCTCAAAATATTTAAACTTAACAAACCGCAAAGCTCTGTGTCTTCTGTTCAAAACCTCAATCATCACATCCCCGCGCTCCCACTTCACACATTTTTTATCGCGGGAGAGCAAAACAAAACATCACCATAATAATCTCTCTTGCAATACCGTACAAAAAGAATATTCGCACTACGCGATGTATACACTACCAGTGTACATACATACGGACGGTATGTGTACACATGGTATTCTACATGATGTAGCCGTAAGGGCTGTAATGGTGGTACGGGTAGTAGTAGTAGTACGGCGGGACGGTCTCAGGTTTCTTCTCTTCCTTCTTCTCCTCCTTCTTGGCCGGCTTGGCGTCGCCGACCTCCACCAGCTCGGCCGGCCCGACCTTCCTCCGCAGCAAGCTCGTCAGCTTCACCGAGTCCACCTCGCCCACCACCACCACCTTGCTCCTGTCGTCGCCGGCGAGCTCCACCGACACCACGCCGCCGGTCGCCGCCACCAGCGACATCGCCTTCCGCCTGCACTTGTCGCTCCCCATGTGCACCTTGATCACGATCTTTTGCTGCAAAGATCAAGAACCATGGTTGTTGAGTCCAGAGAACTCAAGAACGGCGATGATATATATGAGAAGGGAGAATCACTTACCGCCATTGCTGAGGAGAATTGTTGATCGATCGAACGATGAGATTGGGATGAACGAAGAGGTCGAGGAAATTCGTGTGTGGATCGTCGAGCAAGAGAGGTGAGCTTGGAAAGCAGTTCAGCTTGAGCTGGTGCAGAGTCCCCTGGCATTAGCTCCTATATATATACACAGCTTAAGTGCTTAACCACCCACATATTGGCAGATGAACAAATCATACTTTGTTTAATTAAGACTTCGTCTCTCAGCTGGTCTGCAGGAAGGAACGACTTGGCTTCTCGATCGTCTCGTCAGTTGTCACTTGGTTTATTAGGACACAAGACACTTTTGTCACTTTGTTTCTCGAGCTGGACTAGTGCTTAGGCTACTAGTCAGCTGGACGAGATTAGGCGTTAGTGCTTGTCCTAATTATAGTTGGTTTCCTACTTGGCGACCAAGCAAGTTGTAAACGCACAAGTCTGATGATAATCTCTCTGCTAAAACTGTTGCACAAAACTCTGAATTGACCGTGATTAAATTTTACTTTGTGTCATTACTGTGTGCTTAGCCGAAGTAATTAGCCATGGTATTCAGGTTAGTAGTCTCGATCGCAGTCTTTTGATTCGATCTTCTTGTATCCCCCTTGTTGAAAATAAGGTGTTGAAAGTACTACAAAATAACTCCTAGCTACCAGAAGATCATCAGAAGATAACATACCAGCTACAGTACTGCAATGCCACAGATAGCAACGGTTGGACACAAGTAGATAAGTATCACCTCCATCGAGCGTCAGTACTTGCCCAGCGACGACAGCGATCTTGGCCCATCAATCAAGCAAGAAGATCGCAACACAAAGACGACGACGACGACGACCGGTGATCTCCGGCGAACTGCTCGGCTCGGTCGGAGAGGTGAATCCGGCTGGGTCTCAGTCCATCGGTCCAAGCTACGAACATCTATCTGACCGCGTGAGAGCCATTTGTGATTTGTCTGAAGTTGCTTTTGGGCTTAAAAGTGAACGCGTCAGAGAAACCACTTGTCTGAACTTTATTATATATGCAGCGATCTTTTGTCTCAACATGATGTTATGTTGCATTTGAATAACCGTATCATCACCTCACCTGAAGGTTCATCTTCGCGGGCGATTTGCAAGATGCAGATTTTAATAAGTCAGTGCGCACATGGGACGATCTTGAACACAAATATTCCAGAAGAGCCTGCATGACGACTCGCAGGTCAATGGATTGGGATGCTGAGATGTGACGTTCGGAGTGCCAAAACGAGTGGGCTCCAAAATTGATAACTAACCAGATTTCTATGGAGATCTCATTGCGCATAAACTTTGTTTTTCTTAGAAACACGGTATAAACATATGTGCTCATAGCACACGCTCGTTCACCCCTATGGACGCACACGTACACCATATCCATATGATCACTTCTTTCTATTAACGCATTTATGCACATCATACATCTATGAGTACTCACCTCTATTAACGTATACACGTACACCCTATCTTTATTAGCACCTCCTATTAGAGATTACATATTCATACACGTACATATTTCAAAGAGACTACCTATACCTAAATTTAAGTGAGTATTACCTAATAGATATACATGAGCGAGTAACCTAATGAATAAGATAAGACAAGAGACATATATGGGTCTTACATATAGAAACGAATCAAAAATTGTTAAAAGTTGTTTTTCTATATAATAAATCATCCCTCCAAATTTCAGTCAAAATTGATAAATTTCTATAATGCAAACATGGGTGGTTTGAGTTTTACACAACTCAGATGGGTATATATAAAGTGGATAAAATAGATATTACCCTTCTCGATCATATCCAAATTTTAAATAGGTAATTTTGTTACCCATAACCTACATAAATAATATGGATATGGATATGTGAATCGGTAATAAATATCAAATGAACAGGCCTACTTGGATCACTATGAGATTTGTACCACACGACCAACTCTATTTTTTTCCCCTCCCTTCATCAGTACCACTAGCCGCCACTTTTACGTGCACACATGTTCCCCATCTCTGATGCCACCACGCAACCTAGCCAGGTGGTCGGAAAGTGTCAACGGTGTCAACAAGGTCTACTGGCTGTGGATTAACAAAATAGATGAGAAGATTAACCTTAAAATTCAGCTTTTACACATAGTAGGTAGCTATATTTAGGACAAACTTTAAATAGTTAACTATATTTTGGGATCTGGGACGGAGAGAGTAAGTGCCAGTAAAATTGGTACTACAAGAATAAATAGTGCCGGGTAAGAACAATAAAATCACTTCTATCATTTTAGTACTGAAGCAAGTACTTTAATTTGTCGGAAATTTCAGTAGAACAGTATGAGTTCAGACGTAAAACCGTTACACCACGGGTCCACGGCCTAAGAAAAAAACCATTTGAAAATACCAAGATCGCCTTGTTCAAAACCTCAAATCATCTCACATCCTCGACCCCACTTCATACCATGAGACACAAAACACCACTTCATAGTAGAGGGATCAGCAAAACAAACCGTAATCTTTATACACAAAACTCATGCTAGTACTGTACAGCTACTGTGAAGTATGAACAGGACGTACGGATCCAGAATAGATGCTGGAAGGCTCGACATCCATTCCCTTCTTCAATTCCCCTGTCCCCCTAAATCTCCGTGAAGAGAAGATAGGGGGATGGAGAAGAAGAAGAAGGGAGGTCGTAAAGACGAGCCTCCCTCCAAACTCATTCTGGATTCCGCCCTGATTGCATTTCCTCTCCTCTACATGATGGAGCAGGTGCTGTCCGGGCTCGGGTTGCAGCCGCAGGGGCAGCCGTGAGGCCCGTAGCCCGGGTGGTGGTGATACACGCCGCCGGGGTGGTAGTAGCCGTAGCCATGGTGGTAGTACACCAGCTCCTCCTTCTCCTCCTTCTTCTTCGCCTCCTCCTCCTTCTTCTTGCTGGCGTCGCTCACCTCCACCAGCTCCGCCGACCCGTCCACCTTCCGCCGCAGCGCGTTCGTCAGCCCGATGGAGTCCACGTCGCCCACCACCACCACCTTGCTCCTGTCGTCGCCGGCGAGCTCCACCGACACCACGCCGCCCGTCGACGCCGCCAGCGCCATCGCCTTCCTCCGGCACTTGTCGCTCGACATGTGCACCTTGATCACGATCTTTTGCTGCAAAGAACATAGCACAATATCGCCATGGTTCAGTCCAAAAGAATTATTAAGGAGTGAATCGAACAAAGCCGCAGCTCTGCAAGAAACTGACGATACGAGAGACGGGAAAGGAGAAAAAAAGATTGGTTTCAGGCCGCGTACCACCATTGCTGCTGCTGCGATGAACTTGAGAACTTGGAACGACGAAGAGTCCGAGGAACTTGGTAGATGCTAGGATTGATTTGTGTGCTGGTGTATTGACGGAGCAAGAAAGAGAAGCTGGGAAGTGGGAAAGCTGTTAAGCTTGAGCTGGAGCAGAGTCCCCTGAGCTCCTCCTGTATATATACAGGTTAAGGGCTTAGCCACTCAACAATTCGTAAATTTGTTTAAGACTTGTCTCTGGTCTGCAGGAAGGGACGACTTGGCTTCGTCACTTGGTCAAGCAGCGCGCTGACACTTTGTCATCTAGTACTGAGCTGGACTACTAGTCAGCAACGAGATTATACTATGGATTATTGCTCGTGCTTAGGATTGGTGTGCGAACTTGGCGAAGGTCTGCCGATCAAATTTGCGGCTCAAATTGTTTCACAAATACCGCTCTCGCCGCAATTCTGTCGACGTACTGACGGTGCTGATCTTAAATTCGAGCTCTGAATTGACAGTGACTTAAAATTTTACTCTTACACTTGTGCATCCGCACGCTTCATCACTGAAGTGATTAACCCTCGTATCGTATTCAGAGAGGTCTCCATCGTATCCGTACGTGCGGTCCTGTTTGTGTATCCATCTGTATTAGTTAGTTACTGATCAAAACGAAAAAAATACTATCTTTGGAACGCGAATTTCAGATGATGGTCCAGCGATGGCGACCTGGGCCATCAGTTTGGACTGAAGATCGAGGGAAGGGACAAAGACGGTGACTGGTCGATTAACAAGTTATTGTACCAGCCACTCAGATTACTGACAAGATTAATTTAGCAGCCCCGAACAACGTCATGTCAGCTGATGACGCAAAAAGAATCGAAGGGAGTAAATTACTAATTAGCAGAGAGCTGAATAATCAACGGAGGGGCGAGGCGAGAGTGATTGTGTTTCAAAACAAAAGACCTTCTTGCAATTAAGTGAGTCAAAGTCTCAAGGACTCGAGGATTGGAATGGCGAACTGAAAGCGAGTGTGCCCGTTCCTTGTCTGACCGACGATGCTGACAATCATCGGAGACGAAGACTTGACCGGATCACACCGCTGAGTGGGTGTCTTCAGCCTTCTCCTACCGATCCCCACAGCTCCTACGAATGAAGGTTACTAACTTACTATGTACGTTACATTGTTAATGCGCATGCTTACCAAACTATTAAACGATGTGCTTTTTATAAACATTTTTTATACGAAAGCTGTTTTAAAAAATTATATTAATCGATTAAAACAAATTAGTTCCCAACCAACGAACGCAGCCAGAGTTAATGGTTAGTGGTTTGTTTCCTCTTCTCCCTCGCACTCTTTTGCTTTCAGATAAGACGATAAATAAGAACAAAATTTCCTTCCATCAACAAGGCCTATTAGCTCAGCTGGTTAGAGCGTCGTGCTAATAACGCGAAGGTCGCAGGTTCGAGACCTGCATGGGCCAGTTTTAAATTTTCTATTGTTCATATAATATTTTGTCAAAAATAAACAACATAAAAGTGGGCTGATTGATGCGGCCCAACAACTACCAGTATCCGAGGCCGGCCCGTGCAAAGCTAGGCCCTATATAGATGGAATCGAACACTTTTGGGAAAAGGTCCACTTGGAATCCCACTAGTGGCCTCAACATATCCATATACCTCAACCACAAATCAGGTATGACGACTCCGCCAACTATTAAAACTGTCTAAAATGATTTCGTCGGTTTTAAGAGCGGTTTTCGCTGATGTGGCAGCCTAGTCATCAAATAAATTTTAAAAAATAAAGTTGAGCTCACATGTCATCCCCTATCTCCACTAACCTCGCTCCCCCTTTCTTCTTCTCGACGCCCAACGCAGCAGGGAGTCGGGACGATGACGGGAAGCGGCGACAACAGGGCTCTCCTCTCTCTCTGCTACCCCAGCCCCTTCCGCACCACCGGCGCTGGCGATGAAGTGGCCGACCGAGAGGGAATGCGGGGTGGCATAAAGATGCGGAGTAGCCAAGCGACACCCTCGATCATGGTGTCGAGCATCTTGAGGGTGCAGGGGAGGCTTGAGACCGGGTTGAGTGTGAAGACCTCGTTGGAGCGCTAAGCAAAGGGAGGTCAGCGCTATGCACCCTCACAACCACATGCCGATGTCTTCCCCGTCCTCTAGCAAATATGTGTCCCCGTCGGCTCCTCCCACCTGAGAGCTTGCCACCATCATTCCGATGTGCCTTGGTGGCCCGCATGAGGACACATAGGAAGGCATCAAGGATTCAGATGGAGGCCATGGATCCGAGCCCAAGTTTCGCTCACTGGCTCCCTCAATCTCGGCTTTCTTGTCGTCTCCCTCCTCTCTTTTGTTGAGCTCGAGTTTGCAATTCGTTGCCGGATAGTTTGTTTTTGTGTGTGTGTGTGAGAGAGAGAGAGGAGGGGTGTACCACCGTCGGATCTATCTTCCCTAGCCCCGTCATGCGGATCATCATGGGTGGTCATCGCCATCCTCAACCGCATCGCCGGAGTTCGAGTTCTACATGGTCGGGAAGAAACCCTACTCAACATCAACATAAGAGCAGCTTGGCTGGCCACTCCGCCACCAGTGTCAGGGTAAAAGGGGTTGGGTGTGGGAGAGAGAGGAGAGCCCCGTCGTCGTCCTGGCACCTTGCTGCTGTCAGGCTGAGAAGAGGACAGGGGGAGAGAGGTTAGTGGAGAGAGGGGGATGATAGGTGAGTCCCACTTATTTTTTAAATTTATTTGATGACTGGGACGTCACGTGGATGATACGTCAGCGATTACCACTATCACACTGCCCTAGGAGTTAAATTGCTCTGATTTCAATTGTTAGGGATCAAAATATCTATATTGCGGTTGAGGATATGAATCAGATTAGACCAAAGTTCGAATTTGGAAGCGGGGTTGAACTGCATAAACCCGTGGTCAGCTGACCACAGGCCCGCAAAGCATGTGTACACATGTCGCCGTGTTGTTCTAAATAGTGGATAAAAACTTGAAATAAAAACATTGCAACACAACAAAAGGTCAAAAGCAAATTATCCGTGGTGGATAAAAACTTAAAAACTTGAAATAAAAAGAGTGAAGTGCACCAGCGGTCCCTAAACTTGTGCGGGTGTGTCATCTAGATCCCTGAACTCTCAAAATGCATTTTTGGGTCCCCGAACTTGTCTTGCATGTCATATAGGTCCATCCGATGACGTGGCATGCCACGGTGACGCCTACGTGTCGGTGAGGACCCCACATGTCAGTCAAATGTATAAAAATAAAATTAAAAACCATATTTTCTCCTCTCTACCTCAGCGTCAAACACCACCGCCTCCGCTCACCGACATGCGCGCGCCGGCCTATGTGCGTAGGCTCCGTCGGCTCCGCCACACTGGCCTCCTTGCCGCGGGCGAAGCCGCACCCGCCTCGGCCCGGCCAGGCAGCCTCAGCCGGCTCTCCGCGTCGGGCTCCGCCGCCTCCGCCTCCGTGCCGCAAGCGACGCCGCACTCGCCTCGCCCGAGGCCGCTTCCTCGGCACCCTCCGCGCCGCAAGCGACGCCGCGGCTTCTGTTCAATTAGCCCGCATAGTTATGGTTGCATGCACGGGTGGCATGCATTGGATTCCCATGCTGCGTGCATATGTAGCATGCATGGGCGCACGCTACGCGCATGGCGGCTAGCTCCGCCTAGCACTCCACTGGCTTCAGCCGAGTAACCCGCATGCCGCTCCACGACCTCCACTCTCGCCTCTCGCCACGGCCAAGGCCGTTCCGCCTCATCTTGAGCTCCGGCTCGCCGCAAGCGTCGTCGAGGGACCAACTCCGCGCGGGCCACGGAGTCACCTCCGCGTCGGCAAGCCTCTGCGTCCGCGCGCGGCTCCGTCGCTTCCGCGGCCACGCGCGACTCTGCCAACGCCGAGGGGCTCCGGCCGTCGTGGTTGTCCGCCTCGGCGTTGAGCCACGGCTCCGTCGCCTCCACAGCCACGCGCAACTCCTATGCTGTCGACGTTGCGACCTCGCGCGGCTCGCCGCCGCCGCCGCCACGTGCGACTCCGTCGGCCGCGCGCGGCTACGTCGCCTCCCCACCCAGGCGCGACACAGCAAACCCCTCCACGCGACACGGCGGCCAGACCGCCGCAGCTACTCGCTGGCCTCCGCTCGGTAGCACGTGTAGATAGATGCATGCAGTGCATGGCCCTATTCACGTGGCAAGGTGCAGGAGCGTGGCAATCTGCAGCCATGCCTGCGTTCGGGGACCTATATGACACGCAAGACAAGTTCGGGGACCTAAAAATACATTTTGAGAGTTTAGGGACCTAGATGACACACCCGCACAAGTTTAGGGACCGCTGGTGCACTTCACTCAAATAAAAACATTGCAACACAACAAAAGGTCAAAAGCAAATCATCCGTGGTCGATAAAAACTTGAAAAAAAAAGGGAGCCGGCAGGATGGGCGTGTAGATTCCGCTTCGTATGATTTAAGTCAAACGATATTGGCCGAAACCAATATGTCCAAGCTTGTGGAGTTGTTCATCATCAAACCAGGGTTGGTGGCCAGCCAAAGCCCTGGGAGAGACAACACAGGCCAGGCTTCTGCCCGGAACAGAGCCGGCCTGAAAAGAGCGGCGCACGACAACTTCCCAACCTTGCCAACTCCCCGCCCCCCGTAAGAGCTGGGGATACAGGCCCGCACCACCAGGCTCGGCGATGCGATCACCTCCACGCCCTATTTTATCCAGCTCTCGGCCGTAGCAAATTTTCCGTGTGGGACTAAAAATTGGTTTACGAGGGGGCTCATCGTATACGGTATACCGTATACGCAGGTAATGTACGTCCCCTGCGTCTTACGCAACACAAGCGTGCATAATAGTGTGGATCACGCAGAAACCAAGCCCATGTTATTATTCTAGTTGAATTAATTTTGTCATATTGTTTTCGGTGCGATTGAATCTTGTTTAGCCGATCGCTTGGATATATGATGAGGCGATCGAATGTTGATTCAAAGCTACTCCATCCGTTTCATAATGTAAGATTTTCTAGCATTACCATATTCATATATATGTTAATGAATCTAGACATGCTAAAAAGTCTTACATTATAAAATGGAGGAAGTAATAAGATTATAAGAAAGAGATCGATCGGGTTCTCGTGCACAAGACCATGTTATAATTCTATTAAGTTTTGTGGTCGAAAGGGTAGTGGTTTTCTTCCTCAACTTGAACATACAATTGTGATTTTGACGACTAGGTTGTGGTTTTACTAGCTCTCGCTTTTACAAAGGAAGCTACGATTAGGGCGACGCTAATGGGCGGACCCCCCAATCCCTCTATACGTCCTCTCCCCCCTTCCTTCTCCCCTTCTTCTCTTCCTACTACACCATAAATTTTAAAATAATAAAAAAACAAATTTAAAATTTTTATGTATAAAAATACTATATATAAAAAATATTTGAATTCAAATTTAAATTTGAATCAGATATATAAAACTTTTTACTTATAAACTTTGGGTCTATAAACTTTAGGTGTATAGAGATACTATATATGAAAAAATTTGAATTCAAATTCAAATTTGAATCGGGTATATAAACTTTTGACTTATAAACTTTGGGTCTATAAACTTTAGGTGTACAAACTTTAGATGTATAGAAATACTATATATAAAAATTATTTGAATTCAAATTTAAATTTGAATCGGATATATAAACTTTTCACTTATAAACTTTGGGTATAAACTTTAAGCGTATAAACTTTATATGTGTAAACTTTAGGTGCATAAATTTTCTAAAATAGGAAAGTAATACGGTGCTAAAAAAGAAAAGTGGAGGGAGGGGGGATTGATCGCCCGGAGCGATTGATCGCTCGTTAGGATTCTCGCTACGATTAGCATCTGTTTTAAAAGTCGTTCAATATTATAGGAGTACTAAGTTAAACATGCGATTTTATAGTTTAATATTTGTGACATTTATTAGCGGTTTATGATCTATATCGATATGTTTCCTTCCACGAATATTTCAGATACCGTTTTATGTTTCGGGCTTTACCTTTTTTTTATTCCGTTTCTGAGCGTTTCCGAGAATAAGCTTAAGATATTCTGGTAAATATGACCGGTTGTTTTACGTCCGGTTGTGATATGACAACAACCGATCGATGTATGGTTGTTTATTCAAAGCTCTATCTGTATATTTATCTATATAATCATCCAAAAATTGTTGCTCTTTAGTTTCTCCCCACCCAAAAAACCATTATAGTGACGATTTCTAATACATAATAGAGCTATTTTCTTAACTGTTACGACTCCCCTTACAGCACCGATCTAATTGTATAAGGCCCTGTTTAGTCCCAAAAAGTTTTTCCCAAAAACATCACATCGAATCTTTGAACACATGCATGGAACATTAAATGTAGATTAAAAGAAAAACTAATTGCACAGTTAGGGAGGAAATCACGAGACGAATCTTTTGTGCCTAATTAGTCCATGATTAGCCATAAGTGCTACAGTAATCCACATGTGCTAATGGCAGATTAATTAGGCTCAAAAAATTCGTCTCGCGGTTTCCAGGCGAGTTATAAAATTAGGTTTTTCATTTGTGTCCGAAAACCCCTTCCGACATCCGATTAAACATCCGATGTGATACCCAAAACTTTTCATATCGCGAACTAAACATGCCCTAACTATGCCAACACTCACTGCTACAGAAACTGGCCCTAGGGAGGGAGGTGAATGAATGCAATGAGTTGAAAGAGATCATTGAGCACTTTGATATCAGTCAGGGACCTGACATTCTGAGATGGGGACAAGCACAAAAATAACGAATTTGGACACAGAAGTTGGCCTTGGGCATGCAGCCAGGAGCAGTAGTAGCAGCAATGCAGCAACAGCTGTAGCTTGATGCTTGCTCGTTTAACAGTAACTCCAGTTTGAATTTTTTTTGCACGAAGCGAACTTGAAAGCATGTAGTGAAGATTTTCTAATGCATACTAATACTGCCGCAAATATGCCATGAGAAAAAAGCGTCACATATCCAATCTGATTTTTCTAATTCATACTTATTTTTCAAAAAGTATATTTTTTTCTACAACAACCGCAAAGAGTGTCACATATCCAATCTGATTTTTCTAATTCATACTTATTTTTTAAAAAAATATAAGAATTGAAAATGTTTTTATCAGTATTTTGGTACGTCATCTATATTTGAGTCGGTTTTTAAATTCGTTCACTTTTGAAAATACAAATCCGTGTTTGAATTGAATTTTAAGTTCGTTTGTTTTGGAAATACAAAAAGAGTCGTATAAGAAATCTTATTAAAAAAACTCACATGCTAACTTGAGATGAAAGTCAGACTCCTAATTGCAGCTCATGATTTTCTAAAAAAAATATCTAAGCGAATTCCCACAGTGAATTTTATCCTAGCTAAACCGTATAACAATAATAATATTAAAACAATATTCACCTGTGTCGATGTTTGAGATCGTGACTACGGTATTTTGATGGTATGGGGATTTTTGGTACCAGGGTATATGCGAGATTGAGGTAAAATAGATGAAGGCAATGATTTTTATATAGGTTCGGGCCCCTTATCTGGTAGGTAATAATAACCCTATATCTATTGGCTGAAGCCGGTATTGCTATTTATTCATCTGGATCACATAAGTACACAAGTACAAGTTCCTTTACCATACTGAATGCATGCTTATTAATTCAGTTAATTGCTTTACATCGATGTATCCTGCATTTGTCCAAGACTACTCGTCCCGCCAGCACACGTGTTCGTAACCCGAGTGAGAGTTGGTATTCATGCGTCGCCCCCCGTGTCGGGCGACTCGGGCGGCGGAACCCTAGCCGCCGCCGCCGCCCTTCCCCGCCCCTTCCTCTGCCTTGCCGCCGCCTGAGCGAGCGGCCGGCAAAGCCGGCGGCTCGCGAGGATGGCGGCGGCGGGGCTCGCGGCGGCCATCTCCCGAGCTCCTGGCGCGGGTGGACGCAAAGGCAGTGGCCGACCGGAGCGGCGCCGGCGTCGAGGCTCATGGCGGTGGATCCGGCGTCACCACCACCGGATCTGGCGCGCTCGCAGCTGGATCCGGTCGCGGAGGCGCGGGCACGGCGTCGGCGAGGCGTGGGCGCTGGCGGCCGCGACAGGCGGTGGCAGGCGCAACGGCGGCGCAGGCACGGGCGGTCGGGCGGCGGCGTCAGTCGCGACGGCGGAGCAGGCGCGGGCGGCCGCGGCAGGCTCGGAGGCGCGGCTGCTGTGGCCGGCGGCTCGATGCCTGGCGGCGACGGCAGCGGTGCCCCCAGATCCACGCCTCTCGGCCGGATCTGGAGGATGGGAGTAGTCGGCAACGGCGGCGGTGGCAATTGGCGACGGCGGTCTCGGCCGGATCTGGACGCCGGTGGCAGTTGGCGACGACGGCGACGGTGTGGTGACGGCGGTGGCGGCGGCACTGGGCCAGCGGCAGTTGGCGACGGCGGTGTCGGCTGTGGTGGCTGCCGTGTCATCTGGCAACGGCGGCGGAAGACATGGCGTCGGGCTGCTAGCTGTTCGGTGGTGGAGGGCGACGGCGCAACAGCGATTTGCAGAGGCGGTGGTTGGCGTCGGTGGCAGCGGCGACGGCGGCTGTGACTCTGGAGGTGGTGGCGACGTCGGCGGCGGGGAAGGAGTCGGGGGCGAGGTGGCTGGGTGTTCGGGAGCCAAGGATGTGGTGGTGGTGACCGTGTTTGCGGTCACCGGAGGCATGGCGGCCTTGGTTGACTAGCCGAGGGCGTGGGAGACGGCTGCAGCTGGCCGGCGCGGTATCGTTCGGTGGAGGGGTCGGAGACCGGCTTGGCGCAGAGAAGCGCAGCCGATGGCAGCGGAGGCCGGCTCGGCGCGAGAGGCGCGGGCGGCGGAGATGGAGGCCGGCTTGGCGCGAGAGGCGCGGCCGATGGAGGGAGGCCGGATTGGCGCGAGAGGCGCGTCCGGTGGAGGAGGCCGGCTTGGCGCAGAGAGGCGCGGCCGGCGGTGGAGGAGGCGACCTAGGTATGAGGAGGAGTTGCCGGTGGGTGTGGCGCGGTCTTCGGCGCACGAAGGCTGGTCGGCGGGGGACGCCGGTGCAGGGGTCCCACATGTCGGCAAAGCTTGTGCGGTGGTGGAGCATCGGTGCGCCAGCCGTGCCTTTGTTGGTCTAGTGGCGGTCGGCCACGCTTAGCGGCGGCCGATCCGGTACTAGTCTTCTCCTGGGCGTGTGTGTTGGCGATGTCGTCGTGTGGGTGGTGGTATTTTTTTCTTTTCCTGGTTACGACTCTCCATGGTTGTAATCTTGTACTTTTTTCCTGCTCTATCAATAGAACTTCGCACCGTCTCGTGCGAGTCGTTAAAAAAAAAGAGTTGGTATTCATGATAGGATATATCAATCATTCCAGCGTTAGTTATAAGAGATTAAGAGTGCGGCGAAAAATTAATTACTATATGACATAGCAGCACTGCTCTTTATTTCATAGTACTATATATATATATATATATATATATATTATTACTGCAGCACAAGCCACACACTGATGACGACACACACTTTATAGAAAAGAAAAGAACAAAGAAGGAAAATACCAAAGACACGACTAGCACACACGCGCATATACATAGCCTTACAGGAGCGCACAGTGTAACTCGTCCTCTCCATGATCAGCCGTGTATGTACGTACGTATTTTTATTCCTTTACTTATTGAGAAACAATATATATATTTATAGTAGATATAGTAGTTGTTTGATTCATGGTTGAGCAGTGGATCAGTGGTTGGAGCTATAGCTAGCTCCGGCTTAGCAGCAGCGGAAGCACTCGCCGTGGTGGCCGCGGTGGCAGCATCCCCAGCGACAGCCATGGCGCCACGGGTCGTCATGGCGCCACGGGTCACGGCCTGGGTAACCGCCGTTCCACGGCGGGTAGTGGCCATAGCCTGGTGGTCCGCCGCCACCACCCCCACCACCACCGCCCTGCTTGTTGGCCTCTGCAAACCCGGATCGATGAAACGTTTAAATAGTTGAATGCACCGATCAATTTAACTTAAAAAATCAAACTAGCCAGAAAATATGCATGCATAGAATACCGATATATATAAACTTGTGTGCACATATGTTAGCTGCTACCTAACCTGAAATTAAATATATAAACGAACGTATGTATGCAACATGTAGGTTCAAAAGCTATCAATAGTGTATATATATGCATGCGATCGTGCGTGAGAAAAAAAAAAGATCAATTATACAAGCTACTCCGTAGATCATAACTACGTATATAGCTAGAGATCGAAGCTGTGTCTACCGGAGATTCGATCAAAATCTTATTCCTTTTGTTTTCTACGGAAAGGTAAACTGTAAACATCATATAGCGTATATATCATATAAGTATATATAGTGTGTGTGCTCACGAGGGTCCTGGGCGGAGGCGACGAAGCAGAGCGCAGCAACGAGCAGAAGAGCGAACACGATGATAGCCTTACGCGCCATGTATACTAGCTTAGATCTTTTTGATGATCTGAGAGATATCCTTACTGATCACTTGTTACTAGCTGTGAACCTGTGATGAACTGATGAGAAGGTAGTATATGCAAACCAAACGTATTTATAGGCAGATAATGAAGGCTGCTGATTCGGCCTGACCGTGGGTTCGATCGATCGAGTAGTTGATGACAGTAGAGCTCTAGCTCGTTGACATTAACGTACTCATCAATCTATATATCTATATAGTATATTCTATATACTTTTTGTGTGTGGAAGAAGAAATGCATGCCATCAAGTTGACTCTGTAGCTAGCTTTAATTTGTGTCTGCTAGCTCACTCGGTAAATCCAATTGTATATATGGATTTTCACAAGATTGTTTAATCGTGGCAGCCAGTCGAAAGCGTCAAATATGAGTAGACGACATATAGAAAGTTTTTGCCAACCTTGTCTAGACATACTTCTTAATTAATTTACTAAGAATGCAAGAGAGATAAACTCAAGTGCCAAAAAGTCAAAATAAGAAGGCCGAAATGTTGAGCTTTTCTGTAAATAATTCTCGACTCTAGACACACGATATCTTCTTTTGAGTTATGTTACTGATGATAGGGACGATTGACTTTGCTTCCAGCTATCCGATCGATTGTGATTTGGTTTTTAGTTTTGTTGGTGTTTTCCGTTTGTTTTTATGGGCAATTTGATCCTCCTGAATGTTTCAAGGCGATGCATGCATGTGTGTATTTATGTTCAAACTTTTGCTTAGTTAGTTATAGGTTATAGGTCATAAGTGAAGTCAATTACCGGTATGTACGTTAAAAAAATAGAGTAAATTTTATAAAATCTCATCTATTATAATCCAAGATACTAATAAAATAAATTTTACTATACTTGAGAAAGTATCTTGAGATATCAAAATTTTACACTAAAATTTTTAGTACCTTAAGATACTTATTATTACCTCCGTTTTAGGTTATAAGAAGATTCATTAACATCTATATGAATGTGGGCAATGCTAGAAAGTCTTATAATATGAAACGGAGGAAGTAGTACATAGAGATACCAAATTTTACACTAAAAAATATGGTACCTCTAGATACCTTCTCAAGAATAGTAAAATTACCCTACTAACAATAGAGATTTTAGCACGTGAACCATAACCCGGTTAGTATGATCCTAAAGTTTTATAAAACCATACCATTAATCATTGTGACATACTACTATATCAAAAATTTTAAAAGCGAATGTGACATTTATATGAATAAAACTACGGGAAAACATTTTGAACACGCACCTGGAATAATTTCTCTGACATTTGTTGCCAAATCAAAAAATATCATTAAAATACCGAAGAATAAAAAACCGCCCGACCAGCCAGAGACTTTTACCACTACCTTGACGATGCTCCGGGCTCCGGCAGTTGGACTCGATCAACAACCAAAATCAACACGGAATATTTTGGTGCGTACGGATCGTACCTTTTTCATGAAAAATTCCTGACGTACAAATTCAAATTCCGAATGCGCAGGCACCCCGTCTCGAAAAGAAGATTAGAAACGTTTCAGATTCAGTGGGTGAGAAAGGTTAAAAACTCTAAAAAAAAATAGCAGGCCGTGCATGGGCAGCCCAGCCCATTCATGCTGCGGCCGGTATGCAGGTGGCCTTTTACTTGGGGGAAAGTCCACTATACATCCCTCAATTGTGCACCGAGTTTTATTCATGTCCCTCAATCACAAAACCGGTTATAAAGTAATAAGTGCAAATCAACTTTCTCGATGGTTTTAGCTGACATAGCACGGCGGTCGTGTGCAGAACCAGTGCTTTTGGTTGTTTGCTTCTTGAGTTACTACCTTACTTATTTTGAGATGTTCTTGAATTTCCCCAAAAAGAAAAAAAAATAGAGATGTTCTTGAGAGTGCAAGGTCAAATTAAAGCCAATAACATCATCGATTCGGCTACAAAAATTGAACTGGATTCTTGCATGGAAAAATTAACATGGGCCAAGTTTCTAAAGTGATGGCAATAGCAAGATCAGTAGCAGGGCTGGGATCGTGAGCTCAAGTACACAATACAACCAACTGAGAACCTGATCGATTGGATCCCGATGACGCGCTGGTGGCGCCGTTCGCTACCCCACGACCACGTCCACTAGCCCGTGTTGGCAGTCGTAAAACTTAAATATACCATAAACACCTTCCATTCTTTGCGTAATATATTACAAACATAAACATCGGGACCAACAATCCGTGTTCACCACCAGAACTTATCGTTTCTTTGCCGGGACCACATCGTTGCCGCCCGCGTTCCTGTTGTTTTGGTTTTCTTCGTTGCCAACCGTAGCGCGTTCAAGAAAAAAGGAACCCCATCATCCGGAATTCGAACTCAAGATCTCTCACATCAACCCACACGTGCATTACCATCCCACCAAATACGCATATATGACTTGGATAGAGATGCTTTCTTTTTAAACTAACCCTGGAGGGATTTTTAGTAATGGTTGTTACTAAAAATATATTTAATCCAGCTTAGTGTTATCAACCGGTACGTAAGTAGCCTTGCAAGAGTGCACACAATTACCAGCACATGTACGTAGTACCTGTATTTTCTCTCCAAGTACGTATATTTATTCATTTATTGTCAGAACATACACTAATTGTAGATAGTAGTTGTCACTGATAGATCAATTCGGCCTCATGATCTCTGTGGATTGGTGGAGCTAAGCTAGCTATGGCTAGCCCCGGCGCCACCTTAGCAGCAGCGGTGGCAATCTCCCCAGTAGCCACGGTGGCAGCACCCCCAACGGCAGCCGTGGTTGTGCCAGTGCGGGTCGTGGTGGTGGCCTGGGCCTGGTGGGTAGTAACCTCCGTTCCATGGTGGTTAGTAGCCGCCGCCGCCACCACCATCTCCTCCTCCGCCGCTGCCGCCACCGCCACCGCCACCGCCTCCTCCTCCTCAGCCGCCGCCGCCACCGCCACCGCCGCCTCCCTGCCTGTTGGCCTCTGCATGCACAGATGGATGGGCGTACATCATATACGTATACTTATGGAACATTGATCGATTTAAACATGTGCAGAGTGATAACCAACTAAACATATATATAAAAGAAACGAAGTATGCAATATGTAAAAGCTATATATGTTCTTCAAGATATATGTGCAGATGTAATTTGCTTGAAGAGTTGAGGGTGTACATGCAAATGCAAACATATATAGATATGCAGCTAGCTAGTGTGTGCGCTCACGAGGGTCTTGGGCCGAGGCGACGAAGCAGAAAGCAGCAACGAGGAGAAGGGTGAACACGATGAGAGCCTTACGCACCATGTATATATGCTAGTGCTAGGTATTTTGTTTGATCTCTGATAACACTGATGACTGATGAGAAAGTTGGACGCAAATTAACCAAGCGTATTTATAGGCAGAATGAAAGCTGCTGATCGTGGATTCGAGGTCGACACCGAGTAATTGATGACGATATATCAGCTCTAGCTAGCTCGTTGACACTCTCAACTCGATCATCGATTTAGCTATATATTCAGAATGTTGCGAGTGGAAGGCATGCATCTCTGCCATCAAATTTACAAGTCAATTGACTGTGTAGCTAGATTTGGTCGGATTTCACAAACTCCGGACGCTAGCAGTTCAAACGTACTATATATGTTAATATTCTAGCTCACTCGGTAAATCCAATTGTATATGGATTTTAACAAGGTTTAATATATCGTACCATGCGTGCACCCATTTGAAAAAGTCAAATATGAGTAGACGATAGAATGTTTTTGCCAGTCCTATCTAAGACATACATACATGTTCCTAATTAAACCCCAAGTGTCTAAAGTCAAAATAAGGCGGCCGAAAAGTAGAGCTTGCTGTAAATATAATTCTTGGCTCCAGACGTACGATAATCTTCTTTTGAGTAATGCTACTGAGATAGGAATGATTGACTTTGCTCCCAAACTACCCGATCGATTGTGGTTTATTTGGTTTTAGCCCTTGTTGTTGTTAATTTTCCGTTTGTTTCGATTAGAGAATTTTTACGGTATAATATACTAATATATACCTAAGTATAAACGATCTAACGGTGTAGATTGATCGATCTTCCACTTAAATAGAATGTAGTATAAAATATATAAGGGTAAATTTGTCTTCCTCGTTAATTTAGATTTGGATATGGCTCAAGTCTTTTTTTTTTAGGTGAGCCATTTAAACGCTTTATCTAGTGCTAGTATTCCAAGGAAGAGTTCAAATTCAGATCAAGCCATAATCTAGTTATTGTCAATTTTTTGATACATGTAGCAAGGCATAAATTCTTATTAGTCCTTATTTAAAAGGCACACTCCGACTTCGTGGTTTTAGCCGTAGGACACCGCCCGAACTCACTTTTGAGGGAAAACACTCTATAATGATAATTTGCCAATGGACACCGCGCCGATTAGAATAATAATCCCCGGTTGAAGTTTCGAGCGTTCTTTTCCTACGTACATTGAAACAAGTGAACTAGTCGAGGTCTACTGGAGTTTCATAATCCATCCTAGCTTTTACCTCATGTGAGCTTGTCAGGAGTAACATCCTATGGAATGGTCACATTTGTCCTCCATGATCTCAAAAATCGAGATACAACAAATGACATTTGCATCAGAGAAGTGAAACAGTGATGCAGAGATTCACATTCTCATAAAACAATTTGCATCAGTGATACAGGGCTTCAAATTCTCAGACATTACAGACATCTTACATCTTACAGCAAGTGGAAGAGTATTTGATTTCTTCCGATTGACGTTATCCAGACATTACAGACATAATTCTAATTTTTCATACAAACAGAGAACTCCATGCTTTTTTTCTGAAAAACAAGCTGAAAAAGCTTTGGACTACTTCAGTAACTTGAGCTAGCCAAGCTAACTTATGCTAATTAATTCCTCATTGAACTGGCTGATTTCTCATGTACTCTGAGCACTATGACAGATTCAGAGTTGGGAGTTGAGAGCAAAGGCAACATCTGAAACTGGTTATGTCTGAAAAACTGAATTTGTTGCAGTAGAGGGTTAGCTGAATAAAAGTTTCATGGAAGGAGAGAAGAAAACAAAATGCGGTGTGTACATGTGGTTTGGTGTCTTGAGTGGCTCAGGTACCAACATGGTTAAGTTCAAATCGAGAGTTTTGCAACTCCATCTTTCTATTAAAAATAAATCAAATCTTTATAAATCCTGCTCACTTCTTCTAAATTCTTCAATTAGATATAAAGTACTCCATCAGCTAGCAACAACAAACGCAGAAGCAGAAGGAGATGAGAAGCCCTGCTTGGTCTCCTGTCGAACGGCAAGAACGACGATGTCATATCTGCAATACTGCTTGGTCTCCAGCCGAGCGGCAAGAATAACAATGGCAGCAGGCAGCAATGGCCCCGCCGCCCGGCTCCCTCTGTGCCTTGCTGCTGCCCCTCCCCTAGCATGTAGTGCCGCATGGTTGCTGCTGGCCAGCCGCTCACTCCCTGCGCGCCTCGCCGCCCCGCGCCGCCGCTTCGAGCCCTCACTCTTGCTCGCTCCACCGCTCGGGGTGGGCTCCGAATCCCACCCCGGATAGGAGTACAACGGCAGTGCGCGGGAGCTAGGTGGCGGCGGAGGAGGAGGCAGCGGCGAGCAGGGTTCCCTTACTGTTTTTGGCGTGGTTACCGGACCCCGTGGTAAGGTGGTTACCGCAGTTACCGCGATAACCGCGAGACATACCGTGATTTTAAAAACTGAAAAGGTTATCGTGCATAGTAACCGCGATAACCGCGTTGTAACAACGCGGTTTCGTAAACCCTGGCGGCGAGTCTGGTTGCGAGGAGGACGAGGCGACAGTGTAATAGTGGTGAGACGGAGGGCAAAGACGGAAATTAGCCAACGCTATGAGGAGGGCTGAACTGGTAGCGCAAATATAACAATTTCAGAATGAACTAGAGCATCAACTAACAAAACGGAGGGAGTATATATTATTACATCACAAAGCCACACACTGACGAGACATCGACACATACAAGGAAAAAAAAGAAAAATACAACAAGACACGACTGTCACACACGCACGCGCACGTACGTACATAGCCTTGCAGGAGTGCACACAGTACTATAACTGTGTGTTTCTAGATCAGCCGCACGTATGTGTACGTGTATTTATTCCTTTATTATTTACTACTTATTAATCATAGTAGATAGTATGTAATTGTGTCACCGATCGACATGGTTGATCTTGAGCTGTGGAGTGGTGGAGCTATATAGCTTAGCAGCAGCGGAGGCACTCCCCCCAGTGGTTGCGGTGGCCGCAGCACCCCCAACGGCAGTGGCCACCGGGACCAGGGTGAGGGCGGTGGTCCCATGGCCGGTCAGGGCGGTCCCACGGCCGGTCGGGACGCCCTGGGTAACCGCCGTTCCACGGCGGGTAGTGCCCGTAGCCTGGTGGTCCGCCACCACCCTGCTTGTTAGCCTCTGCATGAACGTACAAATATTTATTTAGTTCATGCATGGATGAGTTTAACTCAATAACTTAAAACTAATTAGAAAATATGCATGTATGTAATATTGATACAAACGGCTCATCGTTTGGCTTATTTAGGGAATAAGCCAAATGGCATATTTGCAAACGAAAAATAGTTTGTGAATAAACGTATTTTTAGCGACCTAGAAGCAAATGCTAACAAATAAACTTTGACAAAAAAAATCCTAAAATCAGCTCTGAATTTAAGGTTGAAAATTCTAATTTTAACTGATAAGGATAAACATAAGCGAAAAGCTGAGGCTGAAACACGCGTACATGCATATTAGTAGTTAGGAAGTTGTTTTTTTATGGGACGGAGTAGTAGATGTTAGCTGCTACTCCCTCCGTTTCGAAATGTTTGACACCGTTGACTTTTTAGCATATGTTTGACCGTTCGTCTTATTCAAAAACTTTTATGAAATATGTAAAATTATATGCCTACACGAAAATATATTTAACAATAAATCAAACGATAGGAAAATAATTAATAATTACTTAAATTTTTTGAATAAGACGAACGGTCAAACATGTATTAAAAAGTCAACGGCGTCAAACGATTCGAAACGGAGGGAGTACTTATACGTACCTAACCTGAAATTAAGTGTATATGTATACAAACGAGCGCATATATCACATATTCAACATGTGAATTAAAGCATGCATGCATGTACGCCTTCATTCATGTGTGAGAAATAAAAATAATGAGTGTGCTCACGAGGGTCTTGGGCGGAGGCGACGAGGCACAAAGCAGCAACGACGACAAGAGCGAACACGATGATAGCCTTGCGCGCCATTTTTTGATCTGAGATCGTTACTGATTAATTGTTACTATTAGCTGCCAATGTGTGATGACTGATAAGTGATGAGAAGACAGGGCATGCAAACCAAGCGTATTTATAGGCACAATGAAGCTAGGTTTTGCTGATCCTGATCGATCGAGTAGTTGATGACAGTAGAGCTCTAGCTCGTTGACACTCAACTTGATCGTGATCTATCTAATTAATTCTATATTTTTTTTATGAGTGGAAGAATTGCATGCCGTATCAAGTTGACTGTGTAGCTAGCTTTAATTTGCGTCTGCTAGCTCAATCGGTAAATCTGTTGAATATATGGATTTTCACAAGATTGTTTAATCGTGGCATCCACTCGAAAGAGTCAAATATGAGTAGACGACATATAGAAAGTTTTTGCCAACCCTACCTAGACATGCATACATACATACATGTTCCTAATTAATTTACTAATAAGAATGTAAGAGAGATAAACCCAAATGTCAAAAAGTCAAGATAAAAAAAAGGCCGAAATGTTGAGCTTTGCTGTAAATAATCCTCGACTCTAGACACACGATATCTTCTTTTGAGTAATGTTACTGATAGGGATGATTGACTTTTTGCTTCCAGCTACCCGATCGATTGTGATTTTGTTTTAGCTTTGTTGGTGTTTTCCGTTTGTTTTTATGGGGAATTTGATCCTCCTGAATGTTTCAAGGCGATGCATGCATGTGTGCCATATATGTTCAAACTTTTGCTTATTTAGTTAGAAGGTCAGAAGTGAAGTACAATTACCGGAATCTACGTTCAAAAAAATTAAGAGAGTAAATTTTATAAATTAAGGCCTTGTTTAGATCCCAAAAATTTTTAGCCAAAAACGTCGTTTGGACACATGTGTGGGACATTAAATGTGAGGAAAAACAATTGCACAGTTTGCATGTAAATTGCGAGACGAATCTTTTGAGCCTAATTACGCCATAATTTAACAATATGATGCTATAGTAAACATTTGCTAATGATGGATTAATTAGACTTAATAAATTCGTCTCGCAGTTTACAGGCGGAATGTGTAATTTGTTTTGTTATTAGTCTATTTTAATACTTGAAATGTACGTTCGTACGCTTCAAAAACTTACACCCAAAGAACTAAACACACCCTAAATCTCACCTATTATTTCAACATACAAACAATAGAGATTTTAGCACGTGACATTACAAACAAGTATGGTCTTAAAGTTTTATAGAACCACACCGTTAATCATTGTGACATATTTCTATATTAAAATTTTAATAAGTGGATGCAACATTTATACGAATGGAACTACGAGAGAACATTTTGAACACTCACCTGGAATAATTTCTCTGACATTTGCTGCTAAACCAAAAAATATCATTAAGATACCAAAGAATAAGAAACGGCCCGAGCGGCCAAAGAGACTTTTAATAGTACCACCTTGACGATGCTCCGGCAGTCACTACGTACATAATAGATTTTTCTGGACCTCCCCTCCCCTCCTCCCCCCCCCACGTCCGTTTTGTTTTCATGCGGTTCGTAACTGAAACCGCATAGAAAAATAGGAAACGGGCAACAGGCTGTCTCCCGTGCGAGCGGCTTAAGCCAACCGCAAACTCCGCACAGGCCCACCATTTAACCCGGCCACCCACCTCCCACCGCCCGCTCCACCTCCCTCTCTCCCACTCTACTCCACTCCACTCCTCTCCTCTCCTCCCACTCTCCTCTCCTCTCCTCTCTCTCCCTCAGTGCACGGCGCGCCCCTCCCTCCCTCTCCCTCCCCTCCACAACGACAGCACGGCGCGCGGCGGCGGGCAAAGGGGCCGGCGGGAGGAGAGCAGGCGGCAACTGCGGCGGCGGCGGCCGCCACCGCGGGCGACAGCGGCGGCGGCACGCCCCCCCTCCCTTCCCCCTAGAAGGTCCGGCGGAGGGGGGGCTTGGGGGTGGCGGATCCGGCGGCGCGTGGTGGGAGGAGAGCACGCGGCAGCGGCGGCGTGCCCCCTCCCCTCCCTCCCCATGCATATCCGGCGGAGGGGGGGCTTGGGGGCGACGGATCCGGCGGCGCCGCCCCCTCCCCTCCTTCCCCTTGTAGATCCAGGGGAGGGGGCGGCGGATCTAGCCGGCGACGCGCGGCTCTCCTCCCCTCCCTTGCAGATCCGGCGGAGGGGAGGGGGACCGGCGGAGCGACCGGCGACCGGATCTATCTCTCCCCCTCCTCTCTTTGTTACTTGTGTTTTTTGTGTGTGATTTGTTCATGTGAGATGTGTTCATGTGATGTGTTCTTGTTGATGTGTTCTTGTGAGATGTGAGATGTGTTCTTGTGATGTGTTCGGCGGCGAGCGACCGCGAGGGCGACGGTGGCGGCGGGCGACCGCGAGGGTGACGACGGCAGGCCTCGGCTAGGCGACGGCGGATTAGGGTTAAGGTTAGGGTTCCTTTTTTCTTTTTTTTTGGTTTCTTATTTTTCTCCGTTTTCGCGTGCGGGCGCGCCACCCGTACGCGAAAATCGCGTTTTTCCCCGACGACTGGGTGCGTGCGGGCCGTCCACCCGCATGCGAAAATTGGCTAGCCCGCACGGAAAAATTGGTGCTGTAGTAGTGAGTTGGACTCGATCAACAACCAAAAACAACACGGAATTTATTAATCAAGCTAGCCGGTCACATCAACTTTTGGTGCGTACGGATCGTACCTTTTTCATGAAAAAATCCTGACGTACAAATCCAAATTCCGTATGCGCAGGCACCCCGTCTCGAAAAGAAGATGTTAAATTGCTCCAGCTGACAGCACAGGGGTGGTGATGGAGAAACATTTCAGATTCAGTGGATGAGAAAGGTTAAAAACTCTAAACAAAAATAGTAGGCCGGTCATGCATGGGCTACCCAGCCCAGACATGATGCGGCCGGTATGCAGGTGCTGTTTTTTTCTTTTACTTGGGGAAAAGTTCACTATACATCCCTCAGTTGTGCACCGAGTTTTATTTATATCCCTCAACCACAGAACTAGTTACAGAGTAACCAGTGCAAATCGACTTTCTCGGCAATTTTAGCTGACGTGATGCGGGTGGCTTTGTGCAGAACCAGTGCTTTTGGTTGTTTGCTTCGAGTTACTACATTACTTCTTTTGAGATGTTATTGAATTTCCCCAAAAAGAAAAAAAAAAAGATATTCTTGAGAGTGCATGGTGAATTTAAAGCCAACAACATCATCGATTCAGCTACAAAGTTGAACTGGATTCTTGCACGGACAAATGAACATGGGCCAAGTTTCTTAAGTGATAGCAATAGCAAGATTCAAGTAGCAGGGCTGGGATCTTGAGCTCAAGTACACAATTAGGGTGAAAAAGGTAACGGAAATTCCCGGCCGACCGGTGTTCGTTTCCGACTTTATACCGGCCGAGCCATACGGAAATGGTAATCGACCAAAAAAATATAAAAATGGTAAAAAATATGGAAATGAAAACGGAAATGGTTTTGCGGTTATACCGATCGTTTCCGTATTTACCGTATTCTTATGAAAATTATTGTTTCTTATAATATGGTAAATAGCGTATTTCTAAATATATTGATATATATAGGGCATGTCTCTACTTGACCCACAGTTTAGAGATTGATTGACTCTTCAATCAAATCCCTAATTTGAGTGCATGGCTAAAATGGAGTTAATTTATAATTTATACAGTATAGCTTGAATTTATTTGTACATATAACATACTTATGTAAAGTTAAATATATGTTTTCTATAGTTTAATGTTTTCGTATTTGTTACCGGTTTCCGATCTGTACCGACATGTTTCCATCTATATTATTCTGTTTTCGGTTTTCCGATATTTCCGATATCGTTTTCGTTTCCGACCTTACCGTTTTCGATTTCATTTCTGAGAAAAATATTATTATGGAAATGGTTGAGGCTGTTTTCCAAACATTTCCTACCGTTTTCATCCTTACACAATACAACCAACTGAGAACCTGATTGGACCCCGATGACGCACTGGTGGCGCTGTTCGCTGCCCCACGACCACGTCCACTAGTCCGTGTTGGCACTTGGCAGTCGAAAACTTAAATATACCATAAACACCTTTTATTCTTGCAGTGTAAAATATTCCTAACATAAATGCTCACATAAACGTTGGTACCAGTAATCCGTGTTCACCACTAGAGCTTGCCATTTCTCTGCCGGGACCACGATGCTGCCGCCCGCGTTCCCGTTGTTTTGGTTTTGTTCATTGCCAACCGTAGCGTGTTCATTGAAAACGACACCTCATCATCCGGAAACGTGTTTTGACGCACTCACCCGGCCGTGTTCACCACTTGAGCTCGTTGTTGTCGTTTCTCTTTCTGTTAAGACCACATCACCCACTAGTGAAGAAACGATATTTAATACCGGTTGGAAACCCCCTTTAGTACCGGTTGTAGCAACCGTGACAAGCAAATAGGCACTAAAGATCTCGATCTTTAGCCAGTTAAATAACCGGTACTAAAGATGCATACCAAGTCATAAAGACGTGTGAGATGTGGGATTCGAACTCAAGATCTCTCATCTCAACTCTCACACGCATTATTATCCTACCTACTACACACATATGACTTGGATAGAGATACTTTCTTTTTAAACTAACCATGGAGGCATCACCAACCGGTACTAAAAATAATACCAGCCGAGACTAAAAATGTTTCCAGGGACATGGACTACTTTAGTACCGGTTCTTAATCTAGCCAAAATATTTGTGATTTTGGTTACCACGATGAAAGATCAGTTCTCTAGTATTGGTTGTCGGCTGCATTTCCGTTGTTTTGGTTTTCTTCGTTGCCTATTGCCGTTCTATGGACAAGTCACATCGCGTGGGACACATCCGGCCACCTTCCTTACCGTTGTTTGGTGAATTGGAAAAATTTTAATGTGTCAAAGAAACGGGTACCCGTTCCTAAATAATGGATCTAATTTTCATATGGTTTAAAATAAGTTTTTTTTATTTCTAGCTAATTTTCAGTTGTTTTTTCTATTTACAATATTAGTTTTACTATTTGATCAAATAAAAATTGTTGGAAACTATAATTTTCCTTCGTATTGAATTATTT